TAAATGCTAAGACTATTAGTCTTAAACAGCACCATTAACGGTATTTCACGAGCAAACATTAGATAACGGCAAAATATGTCGGAAATATTAAAAACTGAGACTTACAGTATAAACGAAAAATTAATAACAACCTAAATTAAAACTGTAGCATCACAACGTGTAAAACTGTGTCATGAAGGCACAAAAATTGTAGATAATAGCTAAATTTGTGATCTAAATCAAACAGGTAAGTCTAAAAATACTACAGAGAATAGTATTTTTGAGTAGGTGATGTGCACAGCCAGGAGCAGCAAGCAACTCCATCAGAGAGCTTCAAAACCAAATATAAGCTTCTCTTTTTTCGGAATCTCAGCGTACCAGTGATCGACTGTTACACTTATTAAACTTTGTAAGGATGTATTTTAACAGAAAAAAAAATTTCGAGAAGTCATATATGTTACAAATTTCGAGGATTTTTAACCTCGTTTTTGTGTAAAAGTATTCATTTGATACCATCGGACATCCATGCCTAAATGCAAAGTTTTCAGCTCCTTCACCACACAGCAGGGAGTGTTTCGAATGCTGCATAACGAATTTCGCCGCAATTATTGGATTCATTATCCTACAATGAAAGTTTTCCTAAAACAATAAGCTAGTTTGGATAATTTCAAGGTCATCAAAACAGAAAGTCAGCAAAATTATCATAAGCGCCCAAAATGTCGGTGTGTAATTTCGTTGTGTTATCGAAATATACCCATCCGTGAGCGCAGCTGGAAAAAGCTCCGTTTATCAATTCATTGCAAAAGTGGTCCACAGAGCTTCTCGACTATATAAAATATAAATTACCAAAAATTAACAGTCCTCGAAAGGAATTGCTGCTTGTCAAATAACAGAGATTTCCACACCACCTCATTTTCATGGATATTGCCGGAAGGTTTCTGTATTTGTGGGAATGTGTTCCGAGACAAGTGAACTTTGTCACTCACTTCAACTCAACAACCGGAAAAGCCAGGAAGCTAAAATTTTAGGGGCATATTCTTATACCGTGCGCCATTTTTCGCTTTAAAATCCACATTCAAATACGTATGGACATATGAAAGAAAATGTGTAAATTTTTGGCAGGAAACGACTTCGAGAGCTTGAAAAGACGGGAACTATGTAAGGAGGTTCTCCGCGCATTTATGAGCTAAAGATTTCAAATCAGTTATCGCTTACACTTATATTAAACATGCAACTACTGTCAAATTTCGCAATGTACACAACCCCAACTTGAGCACTAACTGGAGACGGCAGCTGTAATTTTCCCTCAATATCTGTCGTTCTTTTCGGGACACGTATATCTAAATAAAGTTTCGAATTGTGCTTGCGCCACACCGTTTTTGTAATTTGAAGATTTTGTAGCGAAGTGGTGACTTCCAATGCTGATCAAACTACGAAGGTAAAGTTTTATCAGGATACTGTATACTTAATTATGGTCTAGGTTGGAGGCTAAATTCTTTACATGCCACATGGCAAATGTTCAGCTCCGTCTCAACTTCAAAAATGAACGCATTTTGTTCGGACTTCGCCATTCTTCTCTCCCCACATCCCATTCATTTTCCAGTTTGCATTTTCAGTAAATTAACAATGCAGCAACTCTTTCGCTTCCTTTACGCAATACGACAGTCATGCATGCTGGAGGTTGAGATTTCACGCCGTCCCATGATGCAGCACTACCTTCCCAGTCAACCCTCTCCCCCCTGGCATGCGTGAAAAGACTGAAACACAGCCAATATGAGTACATACGTTGAACTGTAAATCATACTGTTAATGAGTTAGCTGCTTAAGTTTGGATTAAAAATGCACGGTTGAATCGGAAATCCTATTGCACTTTGCCATCTGGAGTTTTCTGTCAACTACTCAGCATTCCTCACAAAGAAATGAGCCGGCTTGGACAGCCAACGAAAAGGCGATGCGGGTAGAGAAGTGAACTCAATACAAAGAACCAGGGATGACTTTAGCTGAGCTCGAAAGAATCTCAGTAATGTCAATGTTCTGTAGTGACATTCCAGAGGACTTGATAATTTTGTTAACCATCATTTTTTTCAGTTCCTCTAGAGTGGACCTTCAAGGTTTCCCCTAAATCAACGTCAAAACTTAGCAACAATGAAAAAAAAAAATCGGCCTTTCTCTTTTCCATGATTCTAAACACAATAAAGAAGAAATCCATCCCGGAACACCACTAATGAGCAAAATCAGCCTCCGGCACAAGCCTAAATCTTCCTTTACCAAATATGTACTGGTTAATGCTAAAAAAGCACCTTTTTACAGTAGACACACCACCAACAGCTCCTGTAAAGCCATCCATGATGCCAGCATCTAATTCGTTGGTTCCATTTGCTGCGAAAACTGCTCCTCTTCCGGCATTGAACTGAAAACTAATGATCAGCTTTCTTTTGCACAAAACTTATCTCTACGACAACTGATGCCGACGCAACTTTGCAAAAAGTTGACGTGTGTCGGGAAGCTTAACCCAACAATTGCAAACCTTTCGCAGGTTGCCCGGCTCAAATTCTTGGTCCGATCAGGCGAATAAATGATTCTCTGCAGCAACCTCAAGTACAGAATGCGAAATAAGGTCGAAACTAATATCGAGGTTGATGTCGAGGCAAATGTCGAGGCTGGTTTTGAGGAGGTGTCGATGGCTGGTGTCGAGGCAGATGTCGAGGCAGGTGATGATGCTGGTGTCGAGGCCGGTGTGTCGGGGCTGCGCAGGACCTCCTGTGGGCTACCGGTCCGTCCACTCGAAAGGAAATCAAATGAATTTTATTAGGGAGAAGGAGGGGCGGGGTGGACAGCTATTTTTCCCCACCCTTTGGAAATACATTAGATAATATTAAATAGCACACAAAACGGCTAAAAAAAATTGGTCGGCCGACGGACAAGATCCGTCGGCTAAGATAATATAATATTATATTTTGGCTTTACAGCTACTCTCTCGTCAAATCAACGCATATAATGGTGGAGGCAATGTTTTTTATGAAAAACTTTTTTAACTTTTAATTTTTCAATTTTCAATGTTTAACTTTCATTTTCCGTTTCACTTTCCTTTTTAGCACATTGCGCGTTACCTATATTTCCCTTGCAACCGTCACACTGACGAGGCCCAGTTGTAGCACTGAATAGGAATGTATGCTACTTGATGGACTGAAACATTTCCATTCAGATTTTAATTTTATTTTATTCATATTTCCATTTTTATC